GGTATAATTACAAGCAGTTTTTGTTGTACATATTTATTAGGTTCCAATGCTGAAATTCACAGTCAAGCATGGGAATAGGATACAATTTGTGCCCTGGAGACTTAGAATGGCATAGTTGAATAGTTCCACACTGGTGTAATTATGATCATCCTAACATCTGGAATAATGAGTTTTAAATGTTTAACTACTTTGAACTATGACCCAAGTCCAGATATGCAGCCATAAATTATACTCGTAATAGTCAAGAGAATTAGCAAGTAAGGCAACACTCCAGGTAATTATATTTTAGGATGTTTACTTATTTGCCAGGATCCTTTTTTAGTAAATTAAGGTTTCATAGTAAATCCCAGCTGATAAAAAGCCTTAACATTATAACTTGGGAAATAGCATTTAAAAAATACTTTTTAATTGTTTGGACTTAGACATATACCCTAGAAACAGAAAATTCATCTTGAGGTAGGTGTTTTATGATGCTGGGTTTTCCTCAGAAAATAATCCCATTTATTGCAAACTAAACATTCTCTTTGTTGCTACTGACATTCCTTATGATCAGTAGAGGGAGCACAAGTTTTCTAACAAACCCTCCGTCACAAAACAAGTGACATCACCAATTATGGCATGAAGGGAAAATATGTAAGCTAGTTCATATTGGTTCATATATATTGGTCCATGTTCCATGAGCCCTGAGAAAATTAAAATGCCAAGAACCATAAAGATAAAATTTAATATCATATTTGAGATGACATTTTAAGTTAAGGGATATATTTACAAGAAAAAATTGACATAATTTCTTTAAAATTAAAAACTCAGGGTTGTGATGCACAGATTATTTAATTTTACTGAAGTTTTGTTTTTTTGTTTGCTTTTATTTCCTTATCCTAAATTCTAAAAGTCATTGTAGGGACAGTCTGAAATGGCCACTTATATGATGTATTAAAATTTGGTACATTAAAAGAGGTAGTGATTTATGTGTGGGCCAGTTTATTTTTGTTCTTTAAGAAAAAGTCTAGAAATGTTTTTGTCAGAACAGTGTGCTAAAGACTTATTTAGTTATTAGTTAAGAACATATATTGGAGCAAAAAAAAAAAAATCTTACACTAAAATCTTTTTAAAATGTGGCTGGTAGTCCCAATGGAATGTTTACATGTTTTGTGAGCATTTGATGGGGCATGGAGGATGATCATTGTCCTTGTCCCAAACTTGTTTTTAATTGATGTTTGGTGCTATTTAGATTACTTGGCAAAGAAACTCAGATGGCATGGATGCTTATTTGTGACACTGTGTTAGAGTTAAGTACTACAGAGAAAACCAAGTCACTTTAATTCCTCTCTCTATGATCTTACAGCTATCAAAATAAAGTCACCAAACATTTTTATATCACTTTTACATATTTTTTAAATATATTTTATTGATTTTTTACAGAGAGGAAGGGAGAGGGATAGAGAGTTAGAAACATCGATGAGAGAGAAACATCGATCAGCTGCCTCCTGCACACCCCCTACTGGGGGTGTGCCCGCAACCAAGGTATATGCCCTTGACCGGATTCGAACCTGGGATCCTTCAGTCTGCAGGCCGACGCTCTATCCACTGAGCCAAACCGGTTAGGGCAACTTTTACATATTTTTAAATATGTTTTTATTGATTTTAGAGAGAGAAAGTGAGAGGGAGAAAGGAATAGAAACATCAATGATGAGAACCATTGATTGGCTGTCTCCTGCATGCCCCTTATTGGGAATGGAGCCCACAACCCAGGCATGTGTCCTGACTGGGAATCAAACTGTGACCTTCTGGTTCATTGGTCAGTGCTCAAACTGGATGGACCATTTTTACATATTTTTAATGGAACAGCTCTTTAAATTAATTAGGACCAATGGAAATAGGCTTGTTATATAGAAGAATTAATTCAGATATATTGAGATTTAGTGAGCTATTTAAGATTATATAGTATACTAGAGGCCTGGTGCATGAAATTTGTGTACTGGAGGAGGGGAGTCCTTCAGCCCGGCCTGTGCCCTCTTGCAGTCTGGGATCCCTCAGGGGATGTCCACCTGCCAGCTTGGGCCCACTCCCTGCGGGGTTCGGGCCTAAGCTGGCAGTTGGACATCCCTCTCGCAGTCTGGTACCCCTCGCTCCTTACCGCCTGCCTGCTCGCTGCTTCTTACCGCTTGACTCGCTGCTTCTTAGCACTGCTGCAGAGATGGGAGAGGCTCTGCCACCGCCTCTGTGCTCGCCAGCCATGGCTGAGTGGCGCTCCCCCTGTGGGAGCACACTGACCACCAGGGGGCAGCTCCTATGTGAGCGTCTGCCCCTTGGTGGTCAGTGTGCATTATAGTGACCAGTCGTTCTGGTCGTTCTGCCATAATGGTCGCTTAGGCTTTTATTATATAGGTTAGCATAGTCGACAAAACCAGAATCCAGAACTCTTGACTTCTAGTTCAAGGAGTCAATAACTAAGAGTTCATGCAGCAGTGATCTAGGACAGATGATTTGAAAATATAGGGACATTGTTTAAATATCCGATCCTCTATAAAGTGCCCGTTTTGTGCAAGTTGTTGTGTCATTAGTTTTGTTTGGTTAAAAAAATGAGAAAACTCATAACGTCATGAAACTCTGTTGTGTAGCAGTAATACAAATAGCTTTTTAGGGCCAATGCAATAGAAAACTCCCTATATACTAATATATAGTTAAGGAGAGAATTTGGAGGAAATAGCTTAGGGGGTTTCATTTACATGTAAAGAGAATGGCTCTTAGATTAAAGAGCCATAATTCTTGGGGGAGGTTGCATTTCACATTCACTTCAATAAGTTTACTGAGGAGTCGGATTGAACAGGGATGGTCTTGGAAACCATAGTTAAGAAGGGATGTTAGATCATATAGTTAGAGAGCCAGCTGAGACCTTGGAGACTATGTAGTCCTTGCATTAATTTTACAGCTAAGGAAACTGAGACCTGGAGTGGTTCTGAGTCACTTGCCCAAGGTTAGTCACACAGCTAGGGGGGTAGAATTGGAATTAGATCCCTTCCAAATGCCTGGATATGAACAAACGCTGACGTAGATTGGTAACAGAATCTAGAAGGTGGGGAATTGTGGAAATATAATAGATGTGTAGAGTAGACTTATGTACAATTTTTACACAGATGCGATTTCCATCCATCTTTAAAAGAATGGAAAGATAACTTTGACTAGTTTTTGGTTTCTTGGGCATAGCAAATCAAAATAGAAGGATTTAGTGATCCATGGAACCGTTTGAAAAGTAGGATGAGCTGCTTGATGGCAAATATGAAAATAACCTTCTCAGCAACTTGTAAGACATTTTATTGGTAATAATAATAAAGATAATAATGGTGATATTATTAACAACAGCTACCATTTATTGAATGTTTACCCTTTGTCCAGGCACCATGTCAAGCATCTGATGTACATCAGTAGTTCATTTAATTATTTCACCCTGTGACCTAAGTATTATTATGTCGTTTTGTAGATAAAAAGACTGAATCACTTTCTTGTCCTAGTCACACTGGTAGATGGCTATGGAATAAAAAGTTGATTCTGATTATGTTTGAATTTCAAGGCTGTGTTTCTCTAACTTGAGTAATGAATAAACCCTCCTTCTAAAGGAAAAATAATCTACTTCATATCCCATATTGACTTATTTTTATTATAAGACTATTTAACTACATGTAAACATAAATTCCTTAAGTTTGTAGCTCTTATATTTTTTAAAACTTAAAAAGAACTACAAATTAAATACAAGTAAAACATACAAAATCAATAAAATTCAAATTGATATTAATTTAATGTGAAAGATGAAGTTTTTACTGAAATGAAAATATCGATTGCAAGATGAATTTGTGGCCATTGCACAGTTCTTTTGAGTTTGGCATGCCTATGTTGCCATGTGCTTCATGATAACTTGGTTCTGCTGCCACATTTCTCTATTCTGACTTCTGTAAAATATCCCTTCAGACAGTAGTCTAGTGTCATTTGACTTTTGCTGGTGCACTCAGATATTTATTGTTAATCCCACCTCTGTTTTCATTAGTTATGATGAAGTACTGCCACTTGGAGCTGGTTTGGGGCTCTGAGACGTCATGGCTGTGTACTTAGTTATAAAATGATGGCTATCCTGGTGCTCTAGAATATGCTCGTGTTAATTCTTTTTCAGGTTATCTTCTAGAAGAAAGCACAAAATTTAAGAAATTCACAGTCTCTGGAGTCATAGCCCAGCCTCTGGTGTTTCCACTTAAAAAATTACACTGCACTTTCTCTCCAAACACTAGGGCAGACCCAGGAAAGCCTCCGTCTTCACCTGCTTTCAGTGCTGCTTTGGTCAGGCCACCACTATTTTGCATCTGAATTTTTGCTCAGCACGTAGTTTTGCCTCCACCAAATTATTCTCCACAGTGTGTTCCACACTGTTGAGTTTTCTATAATACAAACTTCTAGAACGGAGCCTCAGAATCACCTCTTTCTGGAAACTTTCCTTTATTGTGTCTCCTTATCTCCTGCCTCTCACCCCATCGATTATCACCTTGCTCCTTCTCTCCCCTAAATTGAATTAGTTATTTTTTCCTTCATTCCTCCTTTAGAACTCCATAACACCGTTGGCCTATCTCTGTTATAATGCTTAGCACATTGTGTTGCAATCCTTAATTTTTGGGTCTCCCTAAGTAGACTTATTAGCTTCTTGAAAGTACGCCAGCCCGTGCATCTTCCTCACAGCATATTGTCTGATGGGAAGGAGGCTCTCATGGTAGCTGTGATCTTGAATCACTGGTCAGTCAGTTATAATTTTAGAAGTGAGGAGTCAAAAATAAGCAAGAGCAAGTAGACATTTCCTAATCTTTCCCATTCATGTATGTGAAATTTATACAAATTACATAAATAGTTAATGTAGTAGACTCTTTTAATATGTAAGCAACCTAATTTTGGAAGTAAACTTTCTATAAAAAATTAAATGATAGCATTATTTTGCTGTTCTTTTGTTTCCTTTTGGTTAGGTGCTGTGATTGTCTCCACGCCCCAGGACATTGCATTGATGGATGCACACAAGGGTGCTGAGATGTTTCGAAAAGTTCACGTGCCCGTAAGCATTTATGCTTCATTGTTGCAGAAATACAAGACACTTCTAACTGAAGAAGCAAGTCACTGAGAAATACAACACAAGTTTTAATTTAGTTCTGTGCAGTTTATATGAAAACCCTACTTCATCTTTATGGTTACTTTATTTAAATATAGATATTTGTATTATTGATTTCAGAGAGGAAGGGAAAGGGAGAGAGAGATCATTGATCGGCTGCCTCCTGCACTCCTGACCCTTGGGATCAAGCCCACAACCCGGGCATGTGCCCTGACTGGGAATAGAACCATGACCTCCTGGTTCATAGGTCGACACTCAGCCACACCAGCTGGGCTTTATGGTTACTTTAAAACACACATATAGGTGCAAACATATATACACATTATGTTAATCAAGGAGACTTCAAAAATGTCCTTCCAATATGAGTTTTCTGAAGAAGTACTACCTCTCTCAAATGCAGCTCTCACTAACACCCCCCACCCCCCAAAAAAGTATAAGAATATTTTAGGAAATTATTTAGGTAGATACACTTGAATAGACAACCAGTAGGAATGCAGGTGAAAACGATGTCTTTTTTCCTTCTGTCTCCTATAATTTAACTCATGTATAGCTCACAGTCTTCTAAAAGGTATCAAAGGATACCTAGACAACATGGCAAACTAGAACAACTTAAAACTATAATGAAAATAAGGAAAAGGACAATTAAAATCAAGTGGAGTCAGAAGTGGGACTTAAGTACATGCTATAAATATACCATTAATTTTTGAGCAGCCACAGGGAAAGATACATAAGACTGTTATAAAACTGTTTTTCCACGAGGTTAAAAAGAGCTTGATGCTCAAGAGTAGCAGAGCTGAGATTAGAGAGGCGGAAGTCTCCCCGAGATTCTCAGAAAAAAGAATCCTCGTGTACATAGGCACAAGCCCGTGCCTTCCTCCTGTGTGCCTCCACCAAAGCAGGTGGACTTCGCAAGTGCCCGCTGGAGTGGGCATTTCAGTACAGAGCAGTGGTGCTTCCATCCATGCGGCGCTCTAGCGCCCGTGCTTCATTCAGGGGGAGGTCTTAGAGTTTAAAGAGCAGCGCTTTTTAGACTTCAGTCCATGCATTAACTTCAGGGGTCTCATGATTCTCTCCCCTCCCCCTCCTACCTCCCCAAATTGTATTCTCACTTTGAGTCTGTTTGGTATGGAGAGAATTCATAACTTTTGCTAAGTTATTCAAGGAGACTATGATATGGCACAAGACCCAGTGATGTAGTAGAATGAAGAGACTCTCAGGGAAGCTTTCATAAATGTTTTCCTCTCAGAAGAGCTTCTGAAAAGTACAAAATAGTAGAGTAGTGGAGTTGAGATGATCCTCTTCGACAAGTACCTCTTCTTGCTTGCCAATTAGCACACAGCTGTGTGTGTTAACAAGCCATGAGCTGTGGATTGGACCAACGTGCTCTTATGAAAACTGAGGAGACTCATAAGGATGGTGCCTGCATGCTTACCTTCCAGGTGACCTGAGGGTGTTCTCACTGGCAGGGGTACAATTGTGATCCGAAAGTGTTTTAGAGATAGCTTTTATGTGTGGATAAATGAATGATAAAACCCTTAACATGAATTGTAGATTGGAAACATTGTAAAGCAATGATAACCTAATGCCCACCTCAGACTGAAAACTGTCTCAGTGAAGCACTTAGTTTAAACAATGTGACTTCCTGTTATGCTCTCCAAGATAGACTGATACAAGGAATGCCTACCCAGATAGCTAAATAAGGTTACTGATATGGGATTTTAAAATATAAATCAGCAAAGAGTTAGGGAGCAGGCTGTCTACCAAAAATTATGAGACTAAGCAATCCATAATCCTTCTTTCTGGCAGAAATTAAATAACAGGACCAGTGGTCTGTTAGTGCCACTTCAAGGTCAGAATAACAGCTGTGCTACCAGCCTATGAGTGAATGCTTAACTTCTCATTCTTTTAAGTTAAGGGCGGAGGCTTATGTATAACTCAAAAACATCAGGAAATCCTTAAGGGAAAAGTTTTCAAAAGAGCAGAAGCAAGAGCTTTTTGCTATTCCTCACCTCCGGTAAATTGTCATTATGTATGTATAGCAAGAGACCATTGCAACTCATGCTGTCACCTGAGGCAACTGTGGCTCTAGGGCAGGCCCTGTATGCACTTAGCTAGTTGCGAGTCTAATGACCATCATTGCTAAATCGGCTTTCAGTCCCTATGTTATTTTCACTTAACCTGCAGCATTTGATACTTACCACCCTATAAGTAAAGAGGTAAATAATCTCATAATTGTTAGGACAGATTCTTCTCTAGGCTGTAGGACAGATTCTTCAGAAGGTGGGACAGAGAATCCTTATGCAACATAACGGTGGGGAAGCGAATGGATGGTCACTAAGTCCAGGTTAGGCTGCTGCTGAGTGAGTGCTGCCGAGGATAAAACTTGCAGGTATCAGCAAGGAAGTATCGTGAGGAAGTATTTATTCCAAGGGAAGGATCTTGGGCTGCATGAGGCTCATAGGACTAGTGGTGGATTCGTTAGGGCCTGGAAAAGTTGTTTGTGATCAGAAGGTTAATGTTGGAGTTGGAGTTTGCAGAGTAGGAACAGTTCTGGATCAAGAGAAGGTCCATGTGGTTGGTCATGGACGCGTGGGGCTGAAGTGGAGGGGAAATGAAAATCATTAGAAATGCATAATCCCTCCAAGTTGGCTTTTTTGACATTTCCTGTATCTTTATTGTACAGTTCTTTTTTCACCCCTTTGTTTTAATTATTTGGCCTCTAAACAGCAAAAATTTTTAAATAATGTAGATTAATCATCTCTTAAACTAGCAGAAGATAATAGGTGCTCAATAATCTTTGTAATTGAGAAAGAACTTTCCAGCAGTGAGCCCTGTAAGCAGTTGGACAAACACGGAGCACCACATTTTATAGGGAATCCCAGCTGTAAGTGGGATGTGGATTCTTCTGGCACTAATGAGCCTTGGAGTCTAAGTAATGGTAAAGCATTTGAAATTAGAGAGTGTTCTCTAAGTGCAAAGGAGAAATGTTATGCTTTGTTTATACCACTTTATTCCATTTTTCCTGGTTTTTAGTTTCACTCTCTATTTTTTCTCCTTTTGAAGTGCATTAGTTACCATGGAAACAATGGTATCATTGGAATTCATTGGTATGGACAGAGTTTAGTAATATCCACAAGAACATTTTGAAGTTAATTTAAATGATTTCTTAAAACTCAGTCAGATAGAGGAAGGAGGGGAAGAGATGAACTATTAAATTCTCTTTTCTCTGCCTGAATGATATCAACTCTGCCAAATCCTTGATTATCTCAGTAATAGTAAACAGACTATTTTTTTAAATAATAAATATTTTCAATCTTGTACATTTTTAATTGTGAGTCCTTTAGTGTTGTGTCATTCTCACCCATTCCTCTTGCCTTCTTTCACAAGGGAGGCCCAGGCTCCTCAGTCTGAAGCCTTTCCCCACCATTTGAGCTTTGAGAGTCAGAGGGATTTCACTGGCCAGCCCTTCCTTCGTAGGTAATCTTCTTCCCAGCTCTTGCAAAGTATGTTAAAGTATATTTTCCTCTCTTACTCCATCTATATGTAAGAGATCACTTGGTTACTTTTAATTCAGTAAATAGTTATCTATTCTACAAATGCATATGTACTGATACTGAGTGCCCTCTCTAAGCAGAGCACTGGGATAAGCTCCATTGGTGATTTTTTAAAAATGAGGATGAGGCCTTTTCCTTCAAGCACTTTATCATCTGTAGACTAGCTCCATCATGGTGCAGAGACCCTAAATTCTGAGGAACAAGAGGATGCTTTCTTCTCTGGGCTATCAAGGAGCTCTTTCATGGGAAAGTCATGATGTTTTTTCACATCCCTGTAATTTTTCACATGCTGGTCCCTTGCCTGATAAGCCATTGTCAGCTTGGGACCTCATACTCATTTTTCAAATCCCTGCTTAGGCATTACTTCCTCTGGGAAGTTTTCCCAAACCTGCCAGAAAAGGTTAATAATTCTTTTTCTGAACACCTTGAACATATATCTTGTTTGACTCTTATCCCACTACAGGTCTACCTGTCAGTCTCCACTGAAGAACTGGAGTTTCTGGAGGGCTAGGAGACATGCCTTAAATTCCTTCAGTGCCCAGTCACCTGGCACATAGCAGGCACGGGATACATTCTCACTACTGACCTTTGACCTGGGCTACACGCCATCCATAGTCTGCTGTTTTCTTCACGCCCAGGTCACAGGCCGCTCTGCCTGGCGTTCTCTCTGCCACAGCCGAATTGCTTGTCTTCTACTTCTTTGAGATTTCCAAACAGTTTCTCTCTTCACTGCCCTCAGCATGCTGTCTCTCCACCTAAGAAAAGTTTACCTTCATTTTTCACCTCATAGCTCCTTTTTATCCTTTGGTACTTAGATTAAACATCTTTTTCTCTGGGAGCTTGCCCAGACCCTGTTAACTAGGGTAAGGTCTTTCATTGGTTCTCAACCTTCCTAATGCCGTGACCCTTCATGTTGTGGTGACCCCCAATTTCATTGTTACAAATTGAACATAATTAAAGCATAGTGATTAATCACAAAAACAATATGTAATTATATATGTGTTTTCCAATGGTCTTAGGCGACCCCTGTGAAAGGGTCGTGACCCACAGGTTTAAGAACCTCTGTTCTAGTGTGTGATCCAGTAATTCATTGTTTCCCCTTTGTAAGCATTTCACATTCGTCAATACTTTCACATTTGTAGCGCCATGCTTACTGTCAGCCCTGTGGGTGCATGGACCACTTACCTCCCTCTGTGCCTGGAATATAGCTGCTCGCTAGATACATACTGGATGAATGAGTGGAGTAGAGTTTTCATCGGCATATCGAGGCATGGAGAGGACAGAATTCAGTCTGAAAAGAATCAGGAGCCGAAACCGGTTTGGCTCAGTGGATAGAGCGTTGGCCTGCGGACTGAAGGGTCCCAGGTTCGATTCCGGTCAAGGGCATATACC